CATCGCCCAACAGCGGGCTGCTGAGACTGGATTTGCCCCAGCCAAGAGACTCCTCCACCAGCAGCGTCGTCATGTCTTCGGGGAGCCTGGCCAGGCCCCGGGGAGGTGGATGTAGCCACCTCTAGCCACTGCACAACCCGACCTGGCCCTCCTTCTCCACCACCAGTGGAGCAGCACCCGGACCCAGTCGCTCTGCGACCAAAGCACGACTGAGATGGGAGCTCACAAGAGCCGTGAAAGCCACCCCAGGTGGTGAGAGCCACCGCAGACACTGCACAGCTCCATCCTTGACACGCCTCGATCGGTACCTCGGGGCTGCTGCAGCCGAGCGGGGAGGAAGGAAAACACCCAGCTTCTTTTCGGGTGACCCTGAATGACAGCTCCCTCCCGAGCAGGACACTGCCATCGGGCCGGTGGGGTGCTGGCCACAGGAGGGGTCCAAAGGTGAGCAGCCAACAGGACAATCTAAAGCAAATCCTGTTTTCTCACCTTTCCCTGGCATCCCACCAGGCATGCCGAAGGAAAGGTGGGGGACGCTGGCTCCCAGGCACGAGGTTTTGCCTGCAATGGACACCCAGGCCAGGGGTGCTGAAAGGAAACGACAGACGGGGGCTCCCAGCGTCAGCGCTGGATTTTTGCCTCCTATTCGGACCTCCGCTGTCCTGCTGGAGGAGACGCACAGATCTGCTCGGGGATCAATGCTGGCCCAGCCGCAGATGAGGGCAAAAATCTCACAGGGTCGCAGGCTGGGTCCAGGCTACCAGCCTGGATAGTCGGCGTTTCCATGGGCAGAACAACTTCTCAAAGCAGCTGCAAAAGGGAACATCCGGACTTGGGCCCTGCAAACTCTCATCACTGAGGACGTAGACAGAGCTAGACACCCTTCAAAAGACTTGCCTGGTGCAACTCCCACTTCCCGACACCCCAAGAGATGGACCCGGGTCCTGCTGCTCCTGCAGGGCCGGAGAGACCTGCCCAGCGACTCACCCCTTTCAGGTTGCTCATGGCCTGGAAGTAGATGAGATATGCCTTCTCAGCGGCGGGTTCCAGTAGCCGCTGTAGGTCTGGTTGTCCCCCACGGTGAAGGGTTTGGCTTCGGTGAGGCTGCTGGCAGGCAGCTCGGCCCCAAAGTAGTGCACGGAGCCCCGGGACACGGCGTCATCGAACGTCAGCGGCACGGGGAAGCACTCCTGCCCGCCCAGCTCCCGCTTGATCTTCTTGGGCCTGTCTTCTTCCACGATGACCTGGTAGGTGCTGGGCAGGGGGAAGATGCAGGGAGCAGGGGTTAGTTTTACCTAAAGGGACTGCCCTGCCCTTCCTCCGTATTCAAGTCGGTTGCTCCTCCTCTCCCTTGCCCGCATCCAGCCCCATCACCCCTGCACTGGGACAGGACAAGGTGGCCACATGCAACATCTCTTTGCCGACGAGGGAACAGGTAAGCAAAGGAGGTAGAAATAAAACCTCCTGCTGCAGTTTCTGGAGGTATCTGGCCTGCCTGGGGGTCCTCACCTTCTCCAGGCCACACCATGCACTGAAGATCCCCATCCCGCCCCAGGGAACTGCCCAAAGCTGCCACCGGGCTCTCAGGGAGGTGCCTAGAGGTGACATCGGGTCTGCCGGGGTTGGTTCCCCCTCGGTGCCAGAAGAAGGATGCAGGACGTGGGTCAGGCCACCGCAGGGAGACCTCCTAGCTGGGCTGGGCTGTAACACCCACCTTGCACCCCAGGAGGGACCAGCTTTGGGTGCTCAGTGCAAACACACTCGCAGCCCTCGCTAAAACAGTCGGAGCAAAACCCCAGCGGAGGTTTTCCTTCCGATCCGGCCCACGCGGCACGCTGCCGAGCAGCGCCTCTCAATCCTCCTTCTGCGGGAAGGGATCTGCCAGGCTATAATTAGAGGAGCCGTCTCGGGGAGAAGTTATTGCTTCCCACGTCCCCTCGCCTCCAGCCCGGGAGCGGGAGCGCTCAGAGGAGCCGCTCCGAACCCGGCGGGGGCTCCGGGGGGACTGTCACAGCCTCTCCCAGAGAGGGACACAGAGCCCTGGGTCACCAACAGCTCGTACGCAGGGGGATGAGATGTTTGCTCCCCGGCCGCCGAGGGTCTACCCAGAGAGCACGTCCTCGGTGCCTACCTGATGGGAGCCCCCCTGCCCTGCGCCGGCCTCAGCAGCACCGTGATGGTGCTCTCCGACTCGCTCAGCGGCGACGGCATGTCCCCGTAGTCGAAGGTGGGAGCTGCGGAGGGAGCAGGAGACAGTGGGCAGGAATGAGCACCGGGCCCCAGGACCGCCTGCGAGGGGGGAAACTGAGGCACAAGCGTTCTTGGGCACGGCCAAGCCGAGGCGGACCGCAGGCACGCCGGCTCCCGTGCCCTACGCTGTTCAGACCCTCCTCTTGCACCAGGGATGGATTCGCGTGCTTCTACTGGTGCTGGACCCCCAAGGTCGAGCCCCAGTCCCGAATCCTCCTTGGTGGAACCCCCCTGCAACCCTTTCCCAAGTCCTGGGCTATTCAGCCCGTTTCGTACCATGGCTGTTTTGCATCCAGCTGGAGGGTTGTTTATGAAAGGATTCGGACCTCAAATACAGTAACACTTTGGCAAGTTCTCCGCTGGGGAGAAAAACTGGAAAATGAGGACAGCAAAGGCAGCAAGGCCAGAAGCAGGCACAACAAAAAGGCAAAAAGCGGATTAGTGCAAAGAAAGAAAATCCCCCAGGTCTTGAACAAACGTTGGACTGCGTTTTTGAGCCGAGGGAGGCAGACGGGCAAGGAGGAGAGCAAGATCCGACCTGGGCAGGACCCGAACGCTCCAGCCTCAAGAAACAGCAGCGCGCAAAGGCGAGGGGGCTGCACCCCAACCGGAGCGAGCGTGCGCCCAAAGCATCCTCCGACTGACACGGGGACCTTCTCCCACCCCGACGCAGGCCCCTGCCCTCCCGCCCGCAGCCCCCGATTAATCAGCAGTCGCTGGGGCCAGGCTCACGCTGCTTGGCTCTTTCTATGCCTCCATTAGGAAACAGCTCAGCCCATTTGGTGCTGCTAATAGCTACACCACAGACATTAGCAAACAGCCCTAAGTACTGTGTGGCTTGTTAATGAAGCCCAATTAACCCCTCATTTGTATACTGAAGTCTCAGACGGTTCCACTGCTGTAATGCCCCCAGCGAGGGGGCTGTTGTGTGCTGGGACCATCCCAAAGTCGGAGGTTCATCCTCCAACAGGTTCTTCCTCCGGCCCCCAGCTCCAGCCCCAGGAACCTGCTCAGAAGGTGCCTGATATAAACCAGCTCTTCGATGGCTACGTGCCAACCCCAAGACAGCAGCACACCAACCCGAACGGCAAGGTTGGCCGGCCCCTGGCATGGTGCCGGAGGAGCCTCCTGGTCTGCAGCACGCTGGGAGCACAACTGCAAACCCGACCTTTTACTGGAACGTCCAGGAGCTGTCGCAACACCGGGGCGATGGAGACGGAGCAGCAGGTAGATCTGTGCTTCCAAAGTGCATTTTGGACACACGGTGCAAGCAGCCGGAGGAGTCAGTGCCAGCTCAGCCCTTCCCATCCCATAGTCATGCTGAGCTTTTTTTCTGGGACCATGGACCCTGCAACTGTATTTTGCACTTGGCACAAAGGTCTTGGGCTTCCCTTTACACTCAGCAGATCCAACCCTCACCTCCCTTCTCACCAGGTGCCCCCAGGCTGGCCAGACTCTCCGCTCAGGCCCCTTCGGATTAAAGAAAGGGGCAAATTTAAAATGCAGAGGAGGTCCCTGGCCGAGGCCACGTGGCCCAGCCCTTCCTGGGACGGGGATGTCTTGCTCCAGTCTAGCTTCACTTTCCAAATGGATAAAGCTCACAGAGACTTAAGGGACATTTCTCCTAGAAGCTGAGGGTTCGTGCACGGAGGACTCAGAGCGGGGTCTGACTCGCAGATGCAGCCAGGGGAGTGGAGCTGGCAGGTGACGGAGGGAGGCAGGCAGAAGCGAACGGCACAGGACTGCTGCCCGTTTCCTCCTCCAGCACCTCCTCAATCTGCCTTGTAAACACCACCTTGATAGGAGGGTACCAACCGCTCCGTCTTAGCCATCCCCAAGTGCCCCCAGCTCAAGAAAGCTCTTCGGTGCTCCAGGGGAGAGCAGGGATCATCTCGCACCATGCACCAGATCTCTGCTGGAAAGGACCGTATCTCATCTGTCCCACCTCAGACACCATTTCTCACTCATGCAACTAATATCATTTCTCCAAGGCCGTTTCAGGGAAGCTGCAAGGCCGGCACCGTTCAGACTCTCCTTCCTCAGCCCACCCACTAACAGATCATATCCGGGCCGCTCCAGTGAGCTAGGAAATGTGTTGCACCAGCTCGTGACCAGGCTTGCCGCGATGCAAACAGGGCAGCTCAGAGGCTGCCGGGCGCCCAGGCTCCCCGGCAGAGCTGGAAACGCAAGGCAGACCACTGCCTTTGGAGTCCTGACTCCAGGCTTGGGGTCTCCAGGGCATGGAGGAAGGTGTTTTGGGGAAGGTGTAACAAAGTGTGCGGGCACACAGGGAGCGAGGCAAGGAAAAGGGTCTGACGGCATGATGACAGGCTCTGCATCCTGGATTGCCACTCGGCTCGATTGCCGTGGAGCAGCCTCGGCACTGGCATCTCTCTCCTGCAGTCCCCGAGGGTGGGGAGCGCTCTGCATCGGCAGCGATGAGCAGGAGGAGGGGAGGGAAGCGATGTGGAAGAACAGGACTGCTTTGGAGAAGAGGTGATGGCCAAAAAGGCTACAAAGAGGTTTTTGGCTTTGCAACAAGTCACAGATTCAAACGCAGCCCAAGAAGGTGACGTGTTTGGCAGGGCTGCCTGGGAGCGTCTCTGGGCATCCCGAAAAGGTGGCAGAGAGACACAGAGCCCATGGGTCTGCTACGAAGGGTCTGGCACTGCCGTGCTCTACCTGTCCAGAGCGGAAATCTCCTGTACTGTCAAAGCCCCAGCACTAACCTCCCGTTCCCAAGGACCAGGGGGTTAACGGAGCTCGCCAGGTTGCTCCCAACGCACGGGGTGAGCAGACGCGAACCCAGCTCCAGCAACGGGCTTGGAGAGCGTCTGCAGCAAGACACCTACAGCCCTCAAATCTGCAGGGCTGATGCCAAGCTGGCATCGTAGGGCTGTTCCTCAGAGCAGCAGGGAACAAAAAAAAAAGCAGCCTCCTCCCCTGCTTCTCCTCCCAGGAGGAAACAGAGCCCTTTGGACCTACCAGATATGTTGGTGGTGATCTCGGTGAGCGCTGTCTGGCCAAAGCCCTTCCCCGTGCGGGCCCGCACCGAGAAGAGGTAGGTGGTGCCGGGGTGCAGGTTGGAGAAGACGTGGTAGGTCTCGTTGCGCAGCTTGGAGACGGTACGCCGCGGGCCAGGCACGTTGACCGCCGGGTCGGAGGACTCGATGCTCTGGTAGCTAATCTAGAAGGACAGGGCAGAGGCGTCACGTAGGAGCGGAGGAGAGGCACGAGGCCTGAGACCACAGATGAGATGCAGAAAAGGAATTAATGTAACAGGCAGGGAAAGGAATTAATTCATAGGAGTGGAGTGGTCACAGGAGCGGTCGCAAAGGCTGAGGGTAGACGCCCGTGTTGTGGCTTTTAGGGTAAATCAAAAGCAGGGGCTCATCTGAAAAGCCATTGCCGGATAATTACAGTGACACTGAAAGAAGGACTCACAAGACAGACCCTACTGCAAAGCGGATAAAAAGCAGGCTGGATCCGCGCTCCAAACGAAGGGCTCGGGGGTAGCAATAACACTGCAGTTGCCCTTAATCTCCGCGACTGAAAGCAGCGGCTCCTGAATGAAAGCCAAGCCTCCATCCCCACTCCCCGAAGATGCCATCCGGGCAGCAGCGCCGGGAGCGGAGATAGGAATCAGCTTTTCATTTGTCTCTTTCTGCGCTCTAATAATTTTGTTGATGCTGAAGAGGCCCGAGCACAAGAAGGAAAAAGCGTGGGGAGATAAGGGCGAGCCTTGCCTGGCTGCTTTCTGGAAAACGTGCTCCCACCCGCACGCGCACGCCTGGGCCCCGAAACACGGCAGCCTGGGCACGGCGCTCTGCAGAGACACATGGAGGAGGTCTCTCCTCAACGCCTACAACGGTCAGCCACCAGCCACCTCTGCAGCTGGTGCCAGCGCGGGTTCAGCACCCAGGAAGGCCAGTGCTGGGGACAGCGGTGGCCAGGGGACTGATGCACCGTGCTCCGCGCGCTCCAAGGACATGGGCCCCGAGCAGAGCAGTGCTGTTCCCAGGAAGGGGAAACATGCAGCGGGAAGTGCACAGGCGCGTTTTGGGGTACGGCTTTGGGTGCTTTCGGCAGGCCCAGCTTCCCAGAGGGATGCTGGTCTCATCTCAGACGTGCTCAGCTTCAGCAAAGCTCCTGGTAAGAGGCAATCGGGTGTTCAGAAACCAGGTCTATGATCTAAAGCTGGCCCCCAAGACAGAGGCACCTGATGGCCTGCTGCTTTTGACGTTCTGCATGGAAAGGGAGGTCCCACCTCTCCTACCGCATCCAGGAAAACCAGACATCCCTGCCTGAACTGTTCTTACAGCCTATCCTAAATGGAACAACCAAAACCAGGCGATGTCCCAGCTGGAGGGACATCTTCCAACCCTTCTGGATATGTAAGAGCCATCACCGATAACCACTACTATCACATACCAACATAGACCCTAGGTATTCTCATATGCAGCATGCATAAAGCTCTCTGTATGAGAGCGGGGCAGCTTTTCCCAGACAAGAAGCCGAAATCCGCAGCGACACGGTCCAACCCAGCAGGGAGCCGCACGTGTGCGTTACTGGCGGGTCCGCCCTGCGGACGCCAGCACCGCGCCGGACCGGGCTCGGGACCTACCTCGTACTGCGTGATGAGACCGTTGGGCTCCACCGGTTCCTCCCATTTCAGAAATATCATGTCCTCCAGGGGGGTGAACGTGAGAGACTCCGAAGCGATGCCTCCGGGGACTTGGAAAGGAAAAGAGAGAAGGAGAGAAGTTAGCGGAGGCACAAGAAGCCTCTTAGCTCCATCGAAAGCTCTTGTCGGTCTCGCCCCCGTTAAAAAACAAGCCAGAAAAATATACGTATACCTACGTGGCCCAAATGCTACCCATCAGGACACAGCTGAGACAGAAACGCTGGCAGCGCCCGGGATGCCCAGCGCTGCAGCCCGCCGCACCAGGGCTTGCAGCTCCCTGCCCAAACAGCGCTCCGGTGGCCCGGACCCCTCGGGGCGCGGACTGGGGGATCGCGCCCGGGAGGCGCGCGCCTCGGCACAGCCCAGGTCTCGCGGGCACACCGAACCCACCCAAGGGATTTAGGGGCGTTTAGGGGTCTCCGGGCCGGCTCTGGCTGCCGCTCAGAGTGGAAACGGGAGGGCAGATGAGGAAGGTCGGCGAAGGCTCAGGTAAACTCCGCAAAGGGGAATTTATGCCGGAGGAGCAGGTGGCGGGGACGGGCCGGCAGGGCTCAGCGCCACGGTCCCCGCGC